TTGTTACAGATGATGTACGGAGTGTAGTCTATGAAGTTTGGGGAATGAGTGAAAAGTGTCGTTAGTTGAAGGGCGTAAATGCATTTTCCAGTTTGTTGGGGGTGACGCCATAAGGGGGCCGGGCGGTTCGGTGCACCGTGCACGCACACTTGGGATGTCAAGAAAATAATATTAAAATATTCATTATAAAAAGTTGTGTTGTTGTCGCCATAACCACCACTACCCAACAATATAGTGCTTAGTTTGCCAATTTTCACAAAGTTTTAGAATGGATGATTCACTTTTAAAAGTTTTAAAAATATTTGGTGAGAAGTCCCTCATAAGAAAAAAAAAAGTTGATTTTAGTTTCGATTAAAGTTTTCACATTGATATTTTCGTTTGAGCTAAGTTATCCGTGTGCTCTGTGAATTAAGGTTTGTCAATTCGTCCTTACAGATTTCGTGCACGCTCTATCGATTTGATACATATCGATTTGTCAAACCGGATTTGTCTGACGTAAATTGAATTACTTGACCAAAAGCGGTCTAATCAAAGGATCATTTGAAATGAAGTACGTGAGCTTAGTTTCAGAATGAATGACTTCACAGAAGTTCAATTAGGTGTGGAATAACAACGAGCCGAGAGGACTCCTATGACTGAAAGATTTCTCGTGGCCTATAATCAGATAGTTGGCATATATGATAAGAATAGGGAAAGAAGGCAGTCGAATCCTAAAGGATATTGTTACTATTCATGAACGGAGTTGGACAATGTAATAGAGTCTTACAAGAAAATTAAGTATCTCGATGTTCTAGGTAAGAAGTTTACTACATCAATATATAAGCGGATAATTGTCTTCTCACTGGAGCGACGGAGTGTATACATATTAGATTGGAATCTAATATGCATACTAGCCAATTTTAATATGGAAAAAGTCGAAAGTCGAAACTCTCAAAATTCAAAGTGAAATTTATTATTCCATAATTGGAAGTTTTTGTGACCTGAATCGGCAAAATTTGTTATTTCTTTCAATTTTCACTAGTAGTAGGGTATGTGATTCAATTAAAATTTTCATTTACCGAGTCATTTGAATATATAGTTGCTTAAACATGATGCATCTACCTTATCATTGATTTCACCTCTTATAACTTATGCAAACGAAACTTATTTTAAGGTTTTTTTTTTTTTTTTTTAATCTAATTGCTTTTAATTTCATATAAATATGATTAGATCGTCTTAATTCTTTATAAAAAGTTCTAAATATTACATCTGTAGAAATTCACTATATAGTTTAATTACACATAATAACACACACTTATATGTACGTGTGCTCTTAGTGGATAATTATTTATGTAAATTTGGGATTTAAAATCACATGGTGTATTTAACCATGTGCAGAATCTCATAAGCCGATATCTAATACCATTAAATTTTGTAAAAAAATAATTAAAAATAAAAGGAAAATAAAAAAGACCAAGTCTCAAGTTAATTAATTTCCATAGATTTTTTGGGGGAACTTGAAACAAATCAAAATGACTATATGTAGCATATATTTTGTTTTCAACGCTTGGCTAATTTTCCACCGCACAACAAATTTATCACCCTATATATAAATTCCATTTCTAACTTTAAGTCTATTGCAAAATATACAAATAAAAAAATAAAAAATAAAAAATAAAAAATAAAAATGAGCCAAGAGCAACTTTCCAAGAATGCTATTGAAGAAGAAACAAAGAAAGTCAATTTATCAAATGAGAGTGCTGGTTTTATTTTAGGTCAGAGTAACAAATCCCATATCCTAGCTAACCAGACAGAACCCATTGGTCTCCAGGTAATTTAAATTATTTCATTTTTTAAAATAAATTTTATATGTTTTTTTTTGAATTTAATTTCTTGAAAAATAAAAAAAATTATTTGATCTTTGATGTAAAGACTAAGAAAAAGTGTTTGTGTTTTTAATGTAAGCTAACATATGTTGTAATGTGATGTTGGATCTTATTTTGAACAAGTGTGTGTGTGTGCGCGCGTTTTTTTTGTTTTTTTATTTATTGTTTGAACAAATAAGAAAGAATATTGTGTATTCCCTCTGTTCGGCAATATCTATCACTTTTAAAAGAATTTTTTTTCTTCATATTATTTGTTATTTTATAATTTCAATGTTGCATTAATTTAAAAATGTTTTGTTATGTCTTTATTAGCTCTCCAACTCTTTATGTGCATTAAATAATAAACAATGGTATTTTGGTCTAACAATATTTATTTTCTAAAAACAAGATATATTATTGAGTTTTTTTAAGTTTTTGTGCACATGTGAAAAACGACACCTATTTAGAAATGAAGGGAGTACACTTGAAATAATTTATTTTTGGAGTTTATATATATAAATGAAAAAAACGTTGAGACAACCCTAATAAATGGCAATGACATTTTTTGTAATTATTCTTTCATTTACTAATATTTTAGTTATAAAAAGTTCAAAATTCAAATCAAATGTTGTAAAATCCTTTCGACATCAATCTATTTTTTCCATATATCTCTAATTATATTTACACGTATAAATTTTGCTTTATTTATTGCTACATTTCTGTCACAATCAATTTCATTTTGACAATTAAGTTTATATATTCATTTGAGGAGTCAGTTTGTACTATCAGATTGGTATCAACATTGATACTGCTACACTAATTTATCTCTAATAATTTCTTTTATAATAGTATAAGAAATACTAGTTTAAAAAAAACCAAATGACCAAATAAAAAAACAAAATTATATTTTCTAATATATATACATGTTTTCAGATAGTATTTATTATTATTTTTATTAGTTGGATAAATTACAACCACCTCTGAGATATGATCAAATTATGAAAACTACTTCTTGTTTGGGTAATTACAACCACCCCCTCAACTATAATTTTTTTTACACGTCCACCCTTACGGTTTCAAATTAGGTGAAATCTTCGAGATTATATAGAATATTATCACTACCCGTTTTATCCCATTTGAACTCCACATTTTGAAGCAAGATGATCATAATATGTATTTTTTTTGGCTTGTATATATCAGATTGTGGTGCATCAGAAACTGTATTTTTACACAAAACGAGTACAAACTAGAGCACATTCCACGAAATCTAGATGATTAAGAAAAAATCATAGTTGAGGGGTAGATGTAATTATTCATACAAGGGGTTTTTTCGTAAATTGACCATACCTCAGGGGTTGATTGTAATTTACCCTTATTAGTTATATAGAGATATATAATGTAAATTATGAATTGATGAAGGTGCTGAAACAAGAGAGCCAATCATTAAGTGGTCCACTTGGTTCGCATCGTGGGGAAATCACCATCGGCGAAGCACTTGAAGCTACTGCTCTTACGGCGGGGCACCGGCCTGTTGACTACAGCGATGCCGCCGCCATACAGGCGGCGGAGGTCAGGGCAACCGGCCGGACCAATATTGTCCCTGGCGGCGTTGCGGCCGCTGCTCAATCTGCCGCCACTCGCAATGCTCGTCTGCCAAGAGACGAGGATAAGACAAAGCTTGGAGAAATTCTTTCGGTCAGTCACACTCGGCCTCTTATAAAATGCACTTCGCCCCTTATAAATTTTCCAAATTTGCACCCCCCAAAAAAAAAAAATTAAAATACGAGACGTCCCCTTTAAAATATTGTTCAAGTTGCACTTTAAATGGGCATCCTGCATAAAAAAAACATTTGAAAGGGGTAATAATGCAATTTTTTTTCAAGGGGTAATGTGCAACAAAAACATGACTCAATAGTGTTGAATAATCCATCGAAATTTGGCTATCAGGGCAACGTGCAACAAAAATAACATTTTGAAGGGGGACACTATCAACTTTTTTTTAATTTTGAGGGGGGAGTGCATATATTGAAAATTTATAGGAGGTGAAGTGCAATTTTCCCTAATAATAATACATCTAAATTGTATATTAATAGTTGTTAAAGTCTTATATCTACTAAAAAACATTAGTTACAAATATTTTCTTGAAGTATTATTACATATTTGTATGGGACTTGACAAATATATATAATATGTATAGTTTGTTAAAAGAAAGTTAACATGAAAATGATATTTACAATTTATCATTTAATTAATTACATTTTTTTTCAATTATAATTTACAAATTGTATCCTATTAACACTATTAGAGTTCTATTGATTTTAATTTGTATATTTGTGATTTTTGAAAAAAATATATTAATATATTTGCAGGACGCAAGTTCAAAGCTGCCGTCAGATAAACCGGTGACCCGCCGAGACGCAGAGGGAGTGATAGGCGCCGAGTTGAGAAACGATCCCAACCTTTGCACCCGCCCCGGAGGTGTCGCCGCCTCTGTTGCTGCAGCTGCAAGACTTAACCAGTCTAACTCTCTTTCTAATAATAATAATACCAATAATAACAACAACCAAATAAATAATTAATAATCAAGTATTTTTTTTACATCTCCGGTGGAGCAAAAATATATTTAATTTATTCTATGCTTACACTGGATTGAAAAATACACGAGTATATTATCGTAATTTATTCATCCATATATTCATATACATTCATATTGGTATGTGAAGATGAATGAAAAAAAAAATAGCATACATTTTAAGAATAAATGAATTGAATGTTTTAGAAAATTGATGGTGTATACATCAAAAGTTCTTTAATATAATAGTGAGTATAGTTTTTATTATATAGGATACAAGTTTGGTTTTTTTCTTCTCCTTTTTTTTTTTTTTTTTTTTTTTTAAAAATTTATATAGGTTGTTGAAATTTGTATTGGACAACTTATCTTTTCTAAGTTGTTTTTGTAGCTTAATGCTACGGGGTCCTCTAGCGTCACCTGCAGCACGCCGCTGACTGCCGTCTGTAGGGGGGGGGGGCTTTCTTTTTTTTTTCTTTT